TCTGAAGTTGCCAGGCTACGAGACTACAACTCCGAGACTATGAGAAAAGGATCTCTTTTCAGGAGGTCAGGGAGGGCTTCTGCAGAGGAAATACCAAATACTTCATTAGAAGACATTTGGCCTTCCAGCCCAGGGAACTGAGTATAGCCCTAGATCACAGAACATGGGCCTTTCAGGAAGTTTCTTTTTCCTGTTAAATCCCATCAGATATTATTTGTAATTGAATGCATTTAAATAGGCACTGTTACACTCTCTAAGGAATGACAGCAAAGACCAAGATTTACATGTTTAATAAGAAAATGATTTCCAAGAGGATATTTAAAGTAGTTAGTGGATAAGTAGTATATAGAAAGATTGGGCGGTCTAGTGCAGGGCTTTTCAAGCTGAGATGCATATGCACCCAGGGGTATGTGGTGCTTTGCCAAAGGGTATGTGCCTAAATTTTAATAATGATGGAGGAGCTTCTGATTAGTCATCACATGGTAAGTAATGGCATTGCTGCACTTTGACAACAGCGTTGACACTTTTCCTAGGGAATGAACATGTAGAGCCATGATGGGTGCAGGAGGTACAAGCAGCAACATTTTGCATGTACATAGCCAAAAGTTGGAAAACCACTGGTATAGTGGACAGAGCTCTGGAACGGCCAGCCAGAAGCCTGGATTCTGTTTCCAGCTATGCCACTGGCTTTCTCTGACTCTGAGCACTTCTCCTTATCTCCGCCTGCCTCTGTTTTCCCTCCCCCACCCTGTATATCTGCGGTATCTGTTTAGCTCACAAGTTCTTTGGGGCAAGGACTCGCTCACTGGGCATATACAGTGACTGGCACAATAGGACTCCCCATCTCAGTTGAGGTCTATGGACAACTGAGGAGCAAGAAGCCCTCACTTCTGTGGGGTAGGTCCTTGCAATGAGTAACACCTTACTTCATGAGTAATCCTGTTGATTCCTTTTGGACTACAGAGGTAGTGATGTTGTAACAGGCCAAGTAAGGCAGTCTTCAAAATGAGTGAAGGTGGTAGAATCTGGCCCTACATTATCCTGTGACCTTACTTAGCCTGTTTGAGGAGCTGTATAAGTGGCAATAATAGAGTAGTAAGCACAACACATGCTCATTAAATAATGAATTGGAGTCCTCGTTTGCATTTGGTACAGCTAAACAAGCCAATGACATGAGCAAAGCATCAGTAGTGACACATCTGTCAGTTGAATATTGAGTATCCATTGTGCGTCTTCCTTGTTACTACTTGTTAGTACCATGTTTTTGTCAATCCAGCAGTTGTGAGAATGTTGTACTAATCAGTATATTGCTCGGGAAATGAGAGGGGTTAGGTGCATTTATTTTGTTGCAGCCCAGCTACTGGTGTGTTACTCCAGCCACTAGTATACCCAAACGTGAGCTAAAATCTCAGAACTGGTAATGGAAATAATGGATGATTTAACTAAAATGGTGAGCAGGGAAGGAGTGAACAATGGTGATGTTTAAAGCATTAGGCTTTTCGATCTCACCAGGTGTACCTGAATGGAGCAGCTAACATCCTTCAGAGCTGGCAACCTCCAAGTGAATGGCATATCAGTTTAATTCATCCTTTAACTAGACATGGGGTACTCGGCCTCCAGCCCACAGGCCAAATACAGCCGGTGGAGCCATGGTTTCTAGCCTGTAGGGTTCACATGGGTCAGGAAACTTGACAGCAGAGGGGCAATGGCAATACTGCCACCCTCCCCACTGCCAAGTTCCCAAACCCAAAGCTCCCTGTGGGCCAGGTTGGGGTTGGATCATGCCCCCTTCCTCCCTTGACCCCCACGGGCAGGGTGAGGCCAGGCTATGCCCCGTTTCCCTTGCGGGCCAGGCCATACCTCCTTGCCCCTGTGAGCTAGGTCCTGGCCACCCGCTCTGCTCTGTTCAACTGGATTGGGTCCCACTGCAACCACCCTGCATGCCAGATTGGGACCACCAGTTGGATTCAGCCTCCAGACAGACCACTTGGCCTGCTGGCCAGAGAGGTTGAGCCCCACTGAGTAAGTCCTGTGATTCTCAACCCCAGGGTGCCACGAGATCCTTTGAAGGGTGATGCAGGAAGTGTGAGGAGGTAAGCAGGTAAGGGCAGTTGGGGCTCTTCCCACCTGGTTATTCCCCATCCCCACTGCCTGGTCTCTCTGTAAGGAGGTAAGCACCATAATAAATACATTTGGTTTTGAAGTGGAATGCCACTCAATACATAGAAGTTATGGAGCAGTGCCTTTAGTCTAAAAAGGTTGAGAACCACTGCTTTAAACCTTCAAGCATGTTACGTTCAATCAACTCTCTTCAGTTGCTGTGAAATGCAGCTTTTTGCGTTTCCTGGTAGCTCCACAGAGGCTGGATTTTAAAAATACTGTTAACACAAAGCATGCTATGTCATGCGGCAAAGGGCATTCTGTTACTGGAAATCCTGAGGATTTGCTTGGAGCTATTCATTTAATGATGGGGACTTACCTCTTGGCCAGGGCAAGATGTTTCAATGAGCATGTTGAATAAAGATTTTCCGTGAGTATTAGCTTGACTAAAGTTTTAGGGGCATATTTATAGTGCTCTGGACAGCCAGCTGGACTCTGCTCTCATTAGTAAGGTATCTGACAGTGCACACTGTATGCAAGTGTGTCTATTCTTGTAGTGTAAGCTGTAATAATGATGGTTTTCTGCGGTACCACGTTATCTTTTCGCTGCACGTTCGATAGAAGTGTACCCGTGCTTTGACTGAGATCAGCCAGGCTCCCCCATCCAGTTCACGAGCCAGCAGATGTTCCTTTGAATGTAAATGTGAAGGCTATCTGTGCAAGGGCTTTTCCAACATTTCTTCTCTGAAATGTGGCTGCTGATTGTGGCATGTTTTGGGTTCCAGCATGATTCATTACGGTAGGTCACGTGAGGGAAACCACACACTTCTTTCCTTCCTGTGAAGCCTATTACATGTTCCAAAGAGGGTCAGTCCCTCTCTGCAGAAACAATTTTTCACTGGATTCCTCCAGGGGGGAAAGTAATGTTCCATATGCAGCTGAAAGACCAAGAAAAATGGTCTTTCTCTCCTTGTGGAACAAAGCAATTTAGTGAAGTGCTGTTTTGTTAGTATTTTTTTTCTATGTTGCCTCCCCTCATATTATCCATTCCCCAAGAATTCAGTATCAGCATTGAAGCCTGGTCTCTGTTTCCCTAGGAGAAGCCTACAAATGGCCCTGGTCTTCCTCTGGCGCAGCTCGAGGCGGTTCCTTTTGAAGGAACGTTGGGGCCGGTTTCATCCATGACCGTTTTATCTCCCAGGTGGAAGGGGTGGGGAGCACAGGGAAATCAGACCCAGCCTGTAGTTAACTTGGACCCATGCTAGGGCAGAGAGAAAGAGCGAATCCAGAAGAAGGCATAGGCAGAATATAAAAGATGTGAGTGGGATAAACAGAGGGAGAGAGCGGTGTAAAGAACATAGCATGGTTAGGCTGAAGGCCCAGAATTTGAACTGTGCTCTCTTTAGAGACCCTTCCAGTAAGGGAAGGAAGACACAAGCTCCTGTCCCCATATCCTCTGTTTAAGCAGAGTGAAGGGATGGCTGGAGATCTAGCTGGCTATTTGTGTTTGGCTTTTGCTTTGCCATGGGCGTGGATGAGCCAAATCACTCAAAGCGCCAAAGTAGCATAAAGATGATGGGGGATGCGAGGATGCGCCTGATGCTGGACTGAGTGAGCCATTGCTGTGGCCCCAGCTAGTGGGAACAGGCCCTGCCTTGGCTCTCAGAACTGTAGCCCACGCTTAGAAAAAGGAAATCTATCTCCCTTGGGTAAGGTTTCCACGGCCACAGCCAAGCAGGATGAATCCTGCATCCTGTCTCTGCAAACTCATGAAACCCAATCCTTGAACATTTTCCAGAACTAGGACTTGGTGTGCTGCTTTCATACCACTGATTTGGTGGACTGCTTTTGAGAATTAGGTCCTATTAGGAATTTTATGTTCCACTTAAGTGGAATAGAAGAGTCCATATAAGTGGATTTAGGCACCAGTGCAGTTCTTTTCTTCCCAGCTTGAGTCCCTGAAAAACTGTTAATGCAAAAGGTGAGGGAAAGTCCTGTTTAGTGACTCAGTCTTAAGGGTGAGATGATAGTGTGCATAAAAAAAATAGATGTATGAATACATTTTCAGGATTTGAAGAGGGTGGAATAAAACCATGGTTAAGTTGCCTCAGTCCACCGGTGCCTAATAGGTGGAATAGATGATCCTTAGTGTTACGTTTGTTCTGTGAGCCATGTCATCAAACTGAAAGTAGCTGCCTTTTCAAATTACACACGCAGCTAGAGTTAACCATTTTCATCCTTGATGCCAACATGAGCATTAGACATGTGGAACCAAATGAACAGGTTACCCCTGAACATTTTGCAGAGATCCTGTTAGTTCAGTCTCAGATTATGAGCTCTCAGGAAATCTTTGCTGTGTTGGTACAGGACCTAGCACAGTGAGAACCCAGTCTCAGTCAGACACTGCTATAATACAGAAAAGGCTCTGATCTCTACCAGCTGTTTATTTTAGGTGCAGGGGTGCTGCCCTAATTTAAACAGCCTCTCTTAGGTACATTTATTTATTTCCTTTTAACCTTCCTATAGAGGTGTCGTGAACCATCATGAAGTTGAGAGTTGGGCTCCAGGAAATGTTGTTCCTTTCTGTCTTTAGACACAGCAGCAATAAAGAAGTTGTGATCTTCAGTAGGACTCAGTGGGTGCATCTACATGTGCGCCGTAATATGGAGGTGACTGATTAGCTTCACAGTAAAGCATCACCATCTACACAAGTACCAGGCACTGCAACTAGGAGCAGTGTATTCTGGGACAAACTGCTCCATTGTATTCATTGAAAGCATTGTTGCATTCATTGTACATGTAGATCCACCCAGTGTTGCCCATTGCTGTCAACAATGCCATGCTTTCATGGGATTGAAAACAACACCTCTTTGACCTTCCTCTTCTCTCCTTTGTGTTAGAGTCCCTGTGTTCACTCACCATTGAGAAGGCATTGCCCGAAGACGAAGGCCAATACAAATGCATCGCCGAGAATGCAGCTGGAAGAGTTGAATGTGTTTGCAGTGTGTTGGTGGATGGTAAGTCCTTTGCCTAATGGGAAAACTCCTCCATTGCAATGTCTTCCCTCTCCCTCTTTCCATGGCTGTTCTTTCCCAACTTCGTTCCTTGGATAGAAAGCTGTAGAAAATAGCTTCCTGCTTCCCTCACACACTTACATTCTTTCCATGAAAATGGGAACTTAATCTCCACTGTAAGGCGCCTGAGCAGGGAACCAGCATGGAGCTGCATGCTGTGACTGCCTTGTGGTGTCATCCTTTTGTACTGTTGCCCACTGAGTTTCTAAAATGGTTTAGAGCAGTTAGTGTCACTAAATCTACTGAGGATTTCAGTGTCTGAGCTCTTTGCATTCTTTCAGTGTGTGTAAGAAGTATGTATAGGAGATCTGTCTACTGCTCTCCCTCAGATCTATGCAAAGGGTAGTCCTCAGTCTACAGTCATGGCTGGTTCTGTTCAGCATGATCTCTGATAAGTTATCTTTTCTTTGTTTGTTTTTTTCCTAATTCTTTTTGACATCCGCAAATCAGAAGGTGTTTAGAGAAAAGCAGCCCTGAGCAGAAGTAAAAGCACAGTGACGAGACGCTCATTCACAATATAGCAGCCAAGGCATGAATTTTAGTTGTCAACATTCAAGGTGATGATGCTAATGATACTGTTTCACCTGTCAATATTTCCTGCCCTGGTCGAGCAGAATGCTGCAAGGCTGATAAAATACAGGTCACCTTTCAAAATGCAATACATTAATCCACAATAAACTAGTGTATGTATCCAAACTAAACCAGTAGAACAAATGCTAATTATTAACTTAGCCTCAGCTTGGGAGCAGAATAGATTTTTCTTGAATAACACAGTATTTTGCAATGAAAAAAAATAAAATCCAGTGAAATTTGTCTTCCTGTACTTAAAATAGGTAGGAACTTGGATAGCCCCAAAAGTTGATTCAAGTAATAATGACCAATGTAGACAAATATGCTATTATCTTAATAAATTAAGATTTTATGGAGCCCTTTTAATTAGCATCATGGCTTAATTTTTTTACTACATTATGTCTTTAAACCTTATGAACAAGATTCTGCTAGGTGTATGGTTCATAAGAAAGACTGTCTAGAGAATAAGTTCAGATTCTGGATCAAGCTTCCTATATCTATGTGGTTTAGGTAAGCATAATCCTGCCTTGAGGTGGTGGTGGACCAGCTGAGATCCCTTCCAGCCCTTTTTCCCCCCGTATGATTCCCCTGCAGTTTAATAATAAAGGACTGGATTTCAAAGGGCTCAGCACGCAGTAGTTCCCTAAATCAACCTTTGCATCTCCTCAGTGCCAGGCTTCTCTGTACCTTTTTCCTGCCTGATCTCCCTCCTTATTTCCTTACCACTCATGAAGTTGTATTCTTGCCACTCCCATGGTTTTACTTCCCTGGCTAAATTTCTTGCTGGCAACACACTACCTGGAAGGCTGGGAACAGCCTTAGGACTGCAGTGTCTTGGATCCTGTGAGGTTGTCAGTACATGGCAAAAGACATATTAATTCAAGGCCTGATGACAGGAGAGGCATCACTGCAGCTGTCTAGCACTGCCACCCCTTGTGCTCAGCACTTGCTCCTATAATGTTGGATGTTACAGTGACCATACTCCTGCCTCAAAGCTGGCACTCACTCCCACCTAGGGCTGCCAACTACTGCAGAGCACACTGTAAATTATTGCTGAAAACTAGAGATTTGGGAAAGGGGACACCAGAGCAAAACCCTGCTCTTAGTAATCCCCTGGGGCCATCACTGTCCCCAGAGAACAGACTGGAAACTCTTTAAATTACAGTTCTGATCTGAAACGGGACTAAAAATAGCACCTTCCTACTCAGCACATGGGCTTCCTCTGTGTTTCTAGAGTCCCAGCTCCTGATTTGACTGGCTAAAACTAAGTTTATATTATATCTTGTTCTTGTCTGTCCAGCAGGGCCAAAACATCTACAAGGGAGCATGCTGGATACTTCTGTTTCCTTTTGCCTCACTTAAATCACTAAATTCCAAAGCAAACAAAGACAGTAGTACTGCACCTCACTGAAGGGGTAATATGGGAGTAGTGTGGGAGTTGGAAGCATTTCTGAGGACATAATTTGGCCCAGAGACCCTTTATTTGGCTTAGGAGCAGTTGTGGGGGCAGACACACAGATGGTTTTAAGATGAAATGTGAGGATCTCCACTATCTGACATGGTTGCCTGTCATTGCAATGGACCTGACTAGGTGACCAGCAGATCCCTTTTAGTCCTTCATTCCTCTATTAATAGAGGCAACGTTCATGTTCAGGTGCCAAAAGGAGCCTTCAGGGCTGAGGATTTGGTAGGTATGGGGTGAGGAGTCTTGCAAACCAACCGAAAACACTGACACACCAAACGCACTCCATTGTGCCACTTGTGTCATCTCTATCAAAGCAGATCTACTAGGTATAAAAGTTTCCTCCAAGAAACTTGTATCTTTGTGTTCTGTTAAAGGCCAATTACTTTCAAAACTGCATTTTCTGTCGGTGGAAAAGATGTTGGCCAGATAGATCAGGTAGAAAATGGGATATAAGAATCCCACGTTGGAAGTGATCCTTTTTGGCACATAAGTGGTTAAAGGCCTCCCTTGCACCTCTCTTCCTGGGATGCGCAGAAAGCAGCTCAGGATTAGTCCTCTTGAATCAGCTCAGTCAAAATAGGCCTGTCAGTTTTGGTAGCACAAGTGATTGTATCTGCTTCCTCAGCTCCCATGTGCAGCTGCCTCCCTCGTCCTTCTCTTCTTCTGTCCTCTGGCATTGTGCAGCAACTGTGTGCAGTTAATCCTGCCTAATAATGTACAAGCCAATGATTTTCTCTAGCTTTACATAAAGACCCAACAGAAATGAGTGGTAATTGAGGAGGGGGCCTTTCCACTTGCTCATTTTCAAATCAAATTAAGATTTTGTTGTTGTTATTTTTATTTTCAGAGCCTTCACCTACAAAGACCCCAAAGCCAACTGAGAAGAAGACAAAAAAGCCAAAGAGCTCACTTCCCCTTGTATTGGCAACAGAGAGTAAGTGGTAGTGACTTAATTGCTTCCTTTTCACTGCAATCATAACAGTGTTTTGGGACCTTGTGTTACTTCCCTTCTGCTGGCAGGCGTAGGAACTGGGCAGGCAGCTTGTGTTGTTTCTTTAACCTTTCCATACAGGTCATGCGAATTGAGCCTTGGGAGGGGAGGGAAGGGAATAGGAGGAGGAGGAGAAACTTATAGTCCAGACCTATCCCGCTAAATTCTCAGTTCCCATAAGGATGCAGTAAACTCATGACACAACTTATTTTCCAATTGTCTTCCAAAATGTATGTGGAAATTCTTGAGCAGTTTTTTGTCCTTGCTTGTTCAAGTTGCACTACATCCTGCGTGGATAAGAGAAGGTGACCTGGGTGTCCTTACCTCTGGATTTAAAATGCTGGCGATAGTATAGTCTTCTCTCTTCATTCCCTGTGGGGGTAGGGAGTGTATTATGGGGTCTGTGTGCTTTTTAACTTAAAATAGTCTGGCTGATTGTGATGTTAGTTAAATAACTTGTCCCTAGCCATAAAATGGAAGAATCCCAGGTTATGCCAGTAAGACGCATTAAACCTCTCTGAAGTTACAGCACACTTACAACTCTGCATGTGCCTGCTGAGCTGAGAGAAAAAGTGCTTTTTTAAATGAAACATTAAACCCAGAGCAGTAATGTCACTGTTTATAAATTCCAAATTGCACGGTTGCATTGGAAAGGAAGAATAGCATGGTGTACAAATAGGTCCCTGAAATCAAACCGTGCTTCTTGAAGGTAACCTAAATTGTCTAGTACAGTACCTCCTAAGAAGATGTGGAAAGAAAACTCTCTTAATGGAAAAAGCATGCCTTCCTTTTCAAGACCTGACTGTGTCTAGCGCCTTTTAATGGAAGCACAAAATAGTTTCATTGTCTATTTAAAATAAGATGTCATCTGCTTCTCTTGTGTGACATATTTAAAACATGTTGTAAATGTTCCCAATACAGTTTGATGATGCTCCATAACATAGTCTTGAACAGTAGCCAGAAGGCTCTTGATTTGTAACAAGTCTGGGTATATGATGCAACCATTTAGTAACAATGCACATCGTGCAGGAATCCTATGTATCTTCTGTCAGTGCTCCCTATCTTCAAAGACTTATTCTTCTGCTTCTTCCAGCCTCTGACTAGAGCTGCCAAAGCAACTTCAGAATTGCATTTTAAAACTCACATCCTTGGCTGGTACAAATCCAAACAGCTCTTTTACCTTCACGGGAGCTACACTGATTTGCATCAACTAAGTTGATGCAACTAAGGGACTGGGGGGATGGAGGGGGGGAGAGGAAAAGGCAGGGAGGGAAGCAGCACCAGGAAACCCCTGGTGCTGCTTCCCCCCCACACACACAGCTCCTCCCAGTCCCAGCGCTGCTTAGCCCCCACCACAGCTCCCCCCAGTCCCAGTGCTCCTCAGCTTCGAGCTCCCCCCAGGCATGGGCAGGAAGCAGGAAGCAACTGGGGCATGTGTAGCATGGGCATCAGCAGGGCTGAGGAGACAGGGAAGCTCTGTCCCCAGCCCGGTGCTACAGGGTCAGAGGGCTCCCCCATACCGGCAGTGTTCAGCTCCTGATTCCTGGGGGGAGCTGGGAGCTGAGCAGTGCCAGGACCAGGGACAGGGAGCTCCCGCATACCCTCAGCAAGCAGAGCAAGAGGAGAGCTCAGGGCACTGCTGCCGCTCAGCCACGAGTCATTGCCCCAAGCCAGTGCCAGTGAGCCAGGCTGTAATCCCAAGCTCCATGCCAGAGCTGTGTACAGTTCCCCCAGATCCAAAGTGTATTTCTATTCCATTCTTTTTATGCATTAGAACTACTTGCATCAAGCCCACATCAGTGCATCTTACAGTTTGATGATTTGCTGATGAACGATCGTTATTATTACTAGATTCCTACATACCTTTCCATATCTGTTGTACCAGGCTTTCGTTGTACCATCCTACGTGCTTTCCTAATGATTGATCACATTTTGTGTCTTGCATCTTTCCAATTTACTGATCAAAGGACTTATTCTCCTATGCATCTATTGTTTAAGGTTTGGTATTACCTTCCTACATGCTTTTATCTACTGTGGCAGTTCATGCTGTTTCTATCCATCTCGGGACGTTCTTGAGCAGAACTTTAGACCTTCAGGCTTTTAATTCCTCCTGCTTCCGGCCTGCTTTGTGGCCTATTACAAAGGGGGTTTGAATACCCAATTCACACTCATTTTAATAAGAATTGGGTTTCCAGATTCCTTAAGCACCTTTGACCATCTCAGATTCAAGTCTCCCAGGGGCTGTTTTGGGAGCCTGTTTTTGCAAGAAGCAACATGTAGATAACTGAAGCAGGAGCCCTTACCTCGTTACATACACGCTGCAATCTCCCTCTGCTGCCAATATTCTGCTTAAGAATTGTTATCTGCCAAAGAACGGAGTTAGCCACTTAGATGTGTGTGTCCCTCTTCAGGGATCTCATCTTTCCCAAGTGCGGGCATCTCTTGAGAACAACCATAAAATACCCACTTACCTTAAAGCATGGGTTAAATTGTGCTCCAGTTTCTCCAGTCTATGTTACATCCTCAGCCCCCATTAACCACAAATCCCTCTGCCTGCTTGCAGTTGTATTTTTGGTTTAGCTCTGGTGTTTACATTGCCTGACAATACTTTTGCTTGCAAATCTATTTAAACTAATAAAAAGCCAAAATGTTATTTAAAAAGAAAATTTGGCCAACTTGCACATTTTATCTGAAAGGCCATATTTCAACCTAACAAATACCTTGTCGTATTGCTGAGTGGGTTTTCTATGTATATTTACATCTGTACTATATCTTTGGCAAATGCAGTTCAGGAATGGCACACTCTTTCTCCATAGTAATAAAAAAACCTGTAGCTTTGTTATGCTGGCATTCATAAAAATATTTTATTTAGTCTTTGTCTCTGCCCTTTTTCCCCTCTTTTTCCTCTAGAGGTTCCCCATGAGGTTTTGGGTTTAAACAGGCCGCAAAGCAAAACTCAGCTGAAACCACCAAATTTCACTTGGTTTCGTCTTAAAATAATATGAAACTGCACACTTTGTCCACTGAATCTATAAATTGTCCCCCTTCTTGAAACTTGAGCCCACAGGCTCCAAAGTTGCAACAGCCTTCAGAAACTTCTTGACAAACCTGGTTTGTTTTTTAAAACGTGCAGCATCCCTAAGTCCAAAGGAGTTTTGAGTCTTGTGACCATTCTGCAAACTCTAGATGTTAACTCTAAGATGAAAAGAGCAACTTATAAGTGAGAGCATTATAGTCTAGGTGCATCAATCTCTAGCTATGGAGATAGCTGAGCAAGCAGTCAGAGGCTTGCCAGTCTCATCACAAGAATGATATGCGGCCTGGTTCTGCCCACCAAAGTCAACCAGAGGGATAAAAGCAGAAATACCCCATTTGGTGATTTGAGCAGCATTTGATTTAACAGCTGGTCTTGTGGCCCTACGCCTGTATTACATTACAGCTGCAACAGGTAGCAGAGACTGTATATATTCTTTCTGCCTTTTTAAAAATACCCACATGCAACGGAATTTTCTGTATTTCCATAGTTACCGTATTACCTAGAAGAAGGTACAATTTCCACTGAAGGCAATGTAGGCATATCTAGATATCTATCTAGCTATCTAAAATTAGAGCTCAATCCAGTATCTTTGTTCAAAAGCCCGAAGTCAAAAGAGAAAATTGAAGAAAATTAGATAAAAATGAGAGTATCTTTAAAAAGCTTTAGAGAAAAGATTTGGAACAGAGATCCAAACTGTTTTGTTCTGAAGCAGGATTCATTTTTACTTGTGAGATTTTAAATTATGGAGCAAGGTACAATAGGGTCTTAATCAGATACTTAAGTGCTGCTCAAATACTTAATAGGTAGAATAGGATGTGGCTCCAGGTTCCTTTAAAAATGAAAGGTTATCCAGATCCCTTGGTTCACTTAAAAAAGCAAAGTCTCTCCCTCACTGTACAATAGACACTAATTAAAGGGATAGTGTAGTCCCCTCTCTCTGCTTTGGAAACTGAGGCAGAAGTTTAAGGCCAAGATTATCAAGAGTGACTAGTGCTTTATAGTCCTCAAGTAGATAAGTTACAAGAGACTACATTTCAGAGATGCACTCTGTATTTAGGCCCTTTCCATGATCTCGGGTAGTGTACAGTTTCTGTAGCGCAATCTTTAGTCTAACTTGCCCAGGGCCACACAGTCATGACAAAGGTAGGATTAGAGCATCTGTTTCCTAACACCCAGCCTTGCGCACCTTCTGCTCTTTCAGACTGGCTTTTCAAAGTTAACTTGCTAAAAAGTCATGAAATGTATCCCTTGTGCCAGAGTAGATTTACAGGCCTAAGCACATTTGTTTTTGGAAAACATTTACTTCTTAAGCACCAAAAGAGCAACGAAAAAAGCGGGTGATGTTGGAAGCTTTTGCAAGGTTTTTACCAGTACTTAGTGCAGCACAGCTTTGTTTTGGTAGGAACTGCATCCAGGTTACAACTACTCAGCAGACATGTAAGCTCTGAAATAGTCTAGAAATTCATCCTGCCTGAATCGGAATCAAGGTATATAGTGGAAGGGTTAAAAACCTCTGCATGTCTTGCAAGAAATGCCTACTGCATTGTGTAGGCACTGAATATTAAGGAAAGGTAATGTCGAGGTGATGTTGTTGCCGTGGTGGTCCAGGAGATATGCAAGAAACACGAATTCTTGTGAATGGTCTCTTTTATTGGAGCAGCTATGGTTGGTGTGGCCATAGGAAAGCTTTGTTATCGCTGTACCCTTCCCCAGGCTTAGGGTACGGTGACATTACCTCTGTCTATACCAGCAGTACAGGTGGTCCAGCAAAGACATTGCTCACAAGATTTCTTGCCTCAAAGTAAAGGTGATGAACTCGGGCCATCAGAGATGGAGAAAAAGTCTCAGGGATATATTGGATTTCCCCATCCCAGTTGCATCTGTGCTGTATCCACTTAAATAACAC